TGCTTCTTGCATGTCCTCTTCAAACAGTCTTGGCATTAATATTCAGTGGCTCTCGATCTCAGAGGGTGATTAACACTGGCTCACCGTCAGGGAATGTCTTCAGGATATTTGTTCAGGATTTTTAATTAGCTTTGATGAATCTTAAAAGCTTTGTGTAGGGGGAGAAATAGAACTGCAGATCTGTTATGGATTAAACAAGTAACACCAATGCAAACAATTCAGAACATAAACGATGAACACAAAAGAAGGACCAAAGACAATGCAACAACATGAGTGTGTATGTGTGTGTGTGTCCGCGTGTGTCTGAGCGAAAGTCAAAATTATTAGCCCTCTTCTGAAATTGTAATTCTTTAAAAACTATTTGCCAAGTGTTGTTTAACAGAGCGAATATTTTATTCTGAGACATTTTTAAACATAACTGATTTAACAACCAATTTTTAAACATAACTGATAATTTAACAGACATTTTTTAACATAACTGACAGAGACAACATTTCTTTTGTCTTTGCCATGATGACAGTCCATATTATTTGTTCTACTTATTTTGCGAGATATTAGTATTCAGATGCTATTTAAAGAATGAACTAGGTCATTATGTTAAATAGGCAATTCACGATTATAAGGCAAGTTATTGGACAACAGAGGCCATTAATTTTAACCTTAAAATTGTAAAAGAATAAAAATAAATAAATAAATAAATATGAAATAAAATATATAAGACTTTCCCCCAAAAGAAAAAAAAATTAGGGATACTCCGATTGATCGTTATCAGCCGATAATCACATTTCATAACTCGATCGGACATGCTAATCTGGCCGATTATATGAACCGATAACAAGTGTTTGTTTACAGGTTTACAAGAGGAAGATGCATTTAAACTTATCATGCATAGTTATTCTTTCACCAATGGCAATGTTTCCAAATTGCTTTGCAAGTCATTTTTCTTACCATTTTTAAATCAGTTTTATCTAATATTTTCTGTAAATTTGCTTCTGACCATGACATGTCCACACTAAATGGTTATAAGAGACGTGTTTAAAGGATTATATGCAACATCTTTCATTTATTCCTTTAGGAAAAAGGAGATCTTCACTTAGGTATCATACTTGGAGGGAAAATGTAAATGCGCTTTAAGCAATTTTAAAGTTTTATTAAGCTTGAAGCACCAGAATCGGTACTCCGTATTGGCTGATGACCATGACGAGGAATCGGTACTCCGTATCGGCTCTAAAAATCCATATTGGAGCATCGCTAAAAAAAAAAGGAAACACTGTCTTGATTTTTAAACAATCACAAAACGTCTTTGATTTATTAAACATGACAAATTTCACAAAAGGGCAAATCAATTTTTGACGTGACCTATATACACTATGCTTGAATATATAAGGCAAATTACACTTCACCTGTGACTCTGAGGAGCGGTGGATTGACAAAGAGTGGATGAAAGGAAAACAACTAGACCGTAAAATACACAGCAACAATAATCCTGGCACAAGAATCACAATCTATTCCAAGAGCAGGTGGTGCAGCTGTGCCCCCCATATGCTTTCAAAAAACCTGCAGTTTCCGGCCAAAATAAAAGCTCATAAAGCACTATTATAATCATCCTCATTATTATTTTTAAATTTCTTTTTTGTCTTCCTAAAAACACTGGTGTGAATGTAATGCAGACTGAGATAATATCTTTATATCAATGTATGTTTCCAGGATATTTTATAGCGACTATCATGATCAACAACTTTAATATTTAAAATTAAATGAATAAATACAAAAAGATACAGCTGATAGGTTTTCCTAAAAAGTTTACTGTCAAAAAGAATGTTATTCTCTTTTTTCTGTTGAACACTAAAGTTGTTAATGGAGAATTCATTAGTAGATGTATAATATTTAATTTGTTTTTCTTTTACAAACATATATGTTCTTACTGAACATCAAAATAACATGATTTTACACATATTTTGAAATGTAGTCAAACATTATTTGAAACAATGAAGTACTGACATTTGACTCAACAAAGCATGTAATATGATTCTGTGTATATAAAATCCTTTTTTAAATGTAATTTCACATGAACACTTTTTAATTCATTTCTTAAATGTATTTTAATTACATGGAATCATAATTACATAAAATTATTTTTATTACTAGTTGTAGCAGAATTGTTACCCTCTTAAAGGAACAAATTTTCACCCAAAAGTAAACTAAAAACAACAAAAACCTCCTTTTTCTCATTGTTAAAACAGGATTTAAAAAGTGAATGAGGTTCAGTTACTGTGAACATCATTTTAATTTGAAAAAATAAAGTCATACTATTTATAACTAGCTGTATTTGAAATCAATAAAAGTCTACGTAATGCCATCATTTAAATGAAAAGCAAAAGCTACTGCACTGAGTGTTGCATGCAGAACTGTTGCAAACAATTTATTTGTGTTGAATTTAAACAAACAAATGAAATATAATAATGTTCAACTTAATTTGTTTGTTTAAATGCAGCCCAAATAAATTGTTTACAACCACTAAAGTAAATCCAAGGAATCATCTTTGAATAATTTTTTCAGTGTATATGTGTGGGTGTGTTTACGTTTTTAAACCTGAATGCACACATACTCATGGGGACTTGTATCCCCGTGGGGACCAAAATTGAGGTCCCCGGGTGTAAACATCATAGATATACACATACAGACCCTGAGCATGCGTCAATAGCGCCGCCACATTTGTACAATGCTTCCAAGACAAATGTCATTCAATCACACCAGTCAAGAACAAAGCCAATCTGTGTATGCAGGACTTTAGCGCTGTGTATGGGTGTAGTAACGAGCTAACAAAGAAAACAAAGCACAAATGCAGAACATTAAATAAGTAAGATTATGTTTTTTGTTTTTGTATATTACAACATTTTGTGCTAAACAAGTAACGTTATTGATGATGATAATAAAGTCACTTGATGCACTGACCATAAGGGAAAGTAGCACCTTGCACTAGATTCTAGGCTTATGCTAGTTTTGTTGAATAAAATCAGCAAATAACGTAAATGAAATATGACAAGAAGATGCTGCCCTGCCAGAAACATATTATTGTCGGCTAGATGAAGTAAAGGCTATTTTTTGAAGTAACTTATAAAGCTGCCTGATAACATAACTGCCTGCTCCTCCATGTGCATACGGTCCAATCCTAAATCATTGAATATTACAAAAGTTATACCATTTAGATCAGAAAGGAGGATGTGCAGATTAAGATGCAGGAATAACAAGGGTTCACAGAAGTCGATCATAACGGGGATTCATTCACAAACTAAACTAATCGCTCTCTCCGTTAGAATGAGAAGTTAAAGCAAGACGGGGTGGGGGGTGGTTTGGTGTTTCAGGACACTGATTAGATGAAAAGGATGATACATACACATAGACACAAATTCTTTGTCGGCAATGCACGTGCGGTCACATATCCATCGATATATAGAAAAGATGTAAAATTATAATTTTCATAATTTCAAAAAATATTTGCATACTGACCACTGGGAAAACTCCCAATTAAAGATATATGTATAGTAGGGATGTAACGGTATTGTAAATACCGTCATACCGCAATATTAATTTTTTTCGATATTACCGAAGTCGCATGACTCGGTAAAACTATAGGTCTTCTGAGAAAATTTGCTCAGGCGAATGAAGCGAACGGGAGGTAGCTTAAACTACATTTCCCATAAGCCCAGGCGTGGCCATAATCCTTTGCGGTCTGTTGTCGCTACAGATCCAGTAATGCGGAAATGGAGTGTGCTGCTAGTAGCGGAGATGAAAAAAAGATGGAAATGATCGAACCTAAAGCGGGTGTTGTCGCCGCGCGCGTACTGAATAGCAGTGTTGTCGCGCGCGTTCTGATCAGCTGTGTTGTCTCGCGCGTATTGTAAAGCGCCGAGGGGGGGTTGAGCGCGCATACTCAAGAGCGGTGTTGTCTACTGAAGGGCTGGACGGAGGTTGTGTCGCGTCGCGGGGGCACTTTTGATCGATTTGGAAGGGCATTTTCTATCCAAGACTAAAAAGGGCATGTGCACTGCACAGGTTGAGCCCTATGTGTGCACGTGCCTGCAAGTTGGGGAATACGACTAATAGCAGTCATGGGGACTGCAGAAACACAGCACTGTTCAGATTGATGCAGACATTGACTTGTACCGCAAAGAGACCTCTATCTCACTCATGGTTTGTCTTCTCAAGTGGGGGAAAGACAATGCACAACGTTACCCACTGCTGTCAACATGGGCCAAGTCATATCTCTGTCCCAGAATCCTCAGTCCCAAATGAGAGGGTTTTTTTCTGTTGCAGGGGACATTGTAAATACCCAGAGATACCAGCTTTTACCAGATTATATTTATATGATAATTTTCCTTTAAACCCATCTCTATCTAAGTGAGTGAGTGATTAAATGTTGAATGTGATGAGTTTTCAACAATACTAAATTGAAACTTTATTTTTTTACATGGTTTAATAATTTTTTGTTATGAAAATTGAAGTTCCTGTTTCAAAGCTTACAGATAGATGACTAATTTGTATGTCATTGACACTTTTGGCACTTTTTTGGAGTATTTTCAAAAGTTTTGTTTTTCCTGTAAATGATTCAATAAATACCGTACCGTGACATTCATACCGAGGTATTACCGTACCGTGAAATTCTGATACCGTTACATCCCTAATGTATAGATATGATCGCTCCAGATGGCCAGTGCTCCACTACACCTTGGTCCCACATTCATTTCAAAGCGCTACCCTGTACTAAAATGGCAGCTCTATTGATGCATTCCTTCCAATAGACAACAATAGCGTAGGTGACATCTAATGTAAATACCTACAGGTAAACATGCTCAAATCATACAGAATGTTATTTTTTGAAAATGTAAAAGTGCAGATTATCTCCTGTGAGGGTTGGGTTTAGAGGTAGGGTTGGGGTATAGGGATAGAATATATGACTATTATGTCTGAGAGTCTGTGTGTGTATGTGTGCGTTTAACCTCTTTGTCCATGCTGTCCAGGTCTTCTTTACAGAGTGTGTAGAGCGGCATGGTTTCCGACATGCTGGGCTGTCGTTTTCTGCGCGAAGGTCCGGGCTGCTCATCGTCTGGACTCGATCCTGCAGGCTCATCTGTCTGCTGAGACCCCTGAGCTGACCTGAACAAACACATCAACAATCAATCGCTCAACACACAAACTCTAGAGCAGCAGCCGGTCAAGCAACTTACGACGCAATCAGTCACTCGGCAATCAAGCAAAACTGGCCGAGTTTGCTTCGAACAGCGTCTCGCTCGGACTGAGGAACATCTAAATAAGCAATCAAACACAGACAAACAGCACACGCCTGTCCGCAAGCACACAACAAACATTTAATCACGTCTGCAGTTCTGTCAGAGGAGCCACGGAACGATAATTATGATCATTCGGCTCGAGGAAATGGATGGCGAGTGAAGAATCGATTAACCTCACTGCATGTGCTCTTGCGGTCTGTTTAAACCCATGATTAAAGGAGTATTTTTGGTCAAGGAGTCTGCAAAATGTGCATTTCTTCATTTTGTTCAACTAAAACTATTTTTTTTAAATGAGGTATTCAGCAAAAATATGCACATAAAAGAAGTTTTATAAATGTTATTTATGGGATGCTATTACTACTCATAGTAGGGTTGGGCGATGTCGACCAGTTTGGCATCGTACAATGTCTAATGTGAAACATCGCAATGGACGATGGCATTGTCGTCGTAGGCAGCAGTGGATTAATTATTTATGAATAATGAATTAATTCATAACAGTTTATTTATTTGTAGCCTACCGTTTCAACAACCTGACCCGCATGGTCTTTGTTTTACCCATAACCAAATCAATAAATAAAATAAATAAATAAATAAAGATAAGTTACACACAAACTACCACCTGTCAATCCCTTTTTCCGCAGGACTCTTTTTTTTCCAATAATGAAATACGATTTTTAAACCCATTTCCGATCAGAAAGAGCGTGATGTCACTTGCGTGATGACATCCATCACAGACACACTGCCAGATCTCAGCAGTCAAGCACCATTGAAGAAAGTGAAAATGATCTGCGAAAATGAGTGCCCTGAATACAGATCTAAATGAGCAAGGTTCCACATACAAGAACGCAGAAAAAATAGTTGGTGAGAGATAGGACTACTTCAGGTTGATTAACATCTGTAGGGTGACTATAATAATCACACAGTAAACCACAAACTCTTTTAACAAAAACAATTCTGATAATCAAATCTGAGCTTTCAAGTAAAGAACCAAACCTTCATTATTTAAATACATATGGCAACATTACAAGTAGTGAAGTTGAATGACTACATTAGCCCGATGCTAAAAACTCTTTCAGATGGGGTACTGTAGTGGCTGGGATGCACAAGAAAAGAAACCAAAAAGCCACTCTGGTGACATCCTTATATATTACAAGCTCTGTCGCAGAAAGTTTTAGCTACAAAATTAGTGCCCTGAATACAGATGTAAATGAACAATGTAAGAATGCAGACAAAATAGTTGATAAGAGAGGAAATGGTTTAGGTTTTTAAGTTCCAGTGCTCTGCAAAATGTGCCAGGGAATGGTGCAGACCAGCAGCTGGAACACATCAAATCTGTTCCACCATTTGAAGCAGTTCCACCCGATAGAACATACTGAGAGTCATAAAAGTTTAAGCCAACCTGTCGCCTCAACATAACCACCACCAAAACCGAAACCAGCTGTGTCAACTACCTTTCGACAAACAGTCTAAACGTCATAAAGACATTACTAGGCCTATTACAAACGTCTTGGCTAAAGACATGGTGCTATTTAGTATGGTGGATGGTGTGGGCTTCGGGAAAACGAGGTCAGTCCTTGACCCCCAATTCCAGATCCCTTGTCGGAAATATCTTTCAAGCACCGCTATACCTGCACTTTATGGTGAAGTTAGGGACAGGGTGGAGGAGCAACTTAAGTCAGTGTCGTATTTTTGTTTCAATCCTGGCTGCAGGAGTTTGTTTGTTGTTTATATTAATAATCAGCCTGCTCTAGTTTAAATGGATATATATTGTAAATAAACTAAGTCTAAGACAATAAAAGATAATAAGAGTCTGAGAGTTTTATTTACTTGATAAGTTTATTTCACATTCCCTTGTAAAGGCTAAATGCAAATAGAAAGTGAACATTCATTTTTTGTAATTTTTTTTTAAAGTTCTAAAAGCCTGGAGGTATTGTTGACTTTGCAAGTTTAGTTTCGACCGATATTAGAAAATGTTTTGTGAAACAAATTTTTGCCATATCGTCCAGGCCTACCTTTACTACACATAAATTCTCAATAATTGGTGAATGTGTAAAAATATTTAATTTTACATGTTGCCCCGTGTTGTGATCACCAGCAGTGATTTACAGTGATTACTTACTACAGGGGTCACCAAACTTGTTCCTGGAGGGCCGGTGTCCTGCAGATTTTAGCTCCAACCCTAATCAAACACACCTGGACAAGCTAATCAAGGTCTCACTAGGTATACTTGCAACATCCAGGCAGGTGTGTTGAGGCAAGTTGGAGCTAAATCCTGCAGGGACACCGGCCCTCCAGGACCGAGATTGATGACCCCTGACTTACTACATTGCCGTTGAACTACAAATCCCACAAGTCATTGCACCAATCACTCCTGCCACAGCTGACAGTCATCTAGACACGCACACAGCTAACTCACAAAAATAAAAATGTGACACAAAACATAATTGGGCCCACCCAAGTAAAGTCTATATGTGGGAAGCACTGCAAAAGCATGTATGAAGAACACAAAGAGTTTTTCCTGGTCCAACAGTATCAATGATTGATTTAAGGAGGCATCAAAATTCTAGAACTTTCTGATATTTACTGTTTCCCATGAGCAAGTTTTCAGGCATCCATCTACGCATTCCTCTGAAAAACATGTTTGAGTGGCACATACAGTTCTTTTCTCCTTTGCTACCTAGCAACAAAAGAGGAACATGGGTGATTTTGTATTGATGCTTGTGTCCTCTTATTTTCTGCTCTTGAACCATTCAACAAGCCCAGTTGCCAGGAGACCAGAACATCCACTCATCAGCAGCGCAAGAGCTCTCGCTGCCAGCCTACATGCGACATGTCGTAACAAGGCTCCATGCAGTCAGGCTATTCATTCAACACATCAGGCCTGCTGTAGACGACGTTGAACGCTCATTATGAAATATTACTTCAACTTGCAGACACCCAGTGCGAATCTGTCTGGAGAGTTAGCCAGGTAGAACTCTGGTTTAAATTTAAAACTTGGCTGTGAACTCTTATAAATGGTTTCTCGAGGACAGAGGACTGCTTTATTAAATCTGCGCCCCCCTGCATGGACAGCAAGAGCAAGGACAAGGCAGATATAAGACCAACAGGAGCAGTCTGTGTTCAAGCTGAGAGCAGCGAACAGCCATCTGAGATGAGAAAGGGGTAACAGGGATCCCAATCCTTCAGCTGGAGGCCTACCTGCAGAGATGAGACCCAACCACAATCCACACCTGAACCAGCCAATCCATAAGTGGTTTCTTTCAAAATAACATGTAACTGCAGGGTCTAACGCTAAGAATGTTTTCTACTGATCCATTCGGGCAAGTGGTTTAGATTTTTACTTGCCCTGCCAAAAATTTTATTGGCCCCACCAAAAAAGAAAAAGAAAAAAAGAGAGAAGTTAATAGATATTTTTAGCCACATATTTTAAATAATGTGTCATAAATAATGTTTGTGAATCTAGAATTTCAATAATTAAAAAATGTTATATGCGCCCGAAATTTTAGCTTTGCGATCTCAAAATATATTTGGGAGCATTAGTGCGAGTGCATATGATTGTTGTGTGCAACCAATTTTACTGCAAAATGTTTATCACATGCGCAGATTCGGGAGACATCTTTGGACTTGAAATGGGAAACGCAGCGCTCCGGAATGGTTTTAAATAGTTGTCATGTCAACTTGCAGCAGTAAACAAAGCCAAATCCTTAATGCTTGCCCAGCCTGCGCGCTCTTCTTATTGGGCCACTTAATATCATCTGTCAATCACAATCACTCAGTCAATGCCTTCTGGCTTGGGATGACAGGGAGAGCTACTACCGTGTAGATGTAAAGCACTGAGGATGAGAATGAAAATAACACTGACAGATTTTGTTTTAGAAACCATGGCATGTAAAGTTCAAATAATTACACATTTAGTAGTGATCATGTGCTGAATGTTTATTCACCATCTACACTTTTCGAACAGTGGATAAAAGACTTCCACTGGCTTCAAGTCCGCTATGAAAAGTCTGTGGGATGGAATTTTCAGGTAACTGTTTGCCACATCTAGCATGAGAGCTTCTGTTAAATCTTTCATTTAATCGCCAGATGCTGTCCGCTGTGCAAGTGGCAGATATATGTCAAATTTAACACCATGTACACAATCGCAAATGGGCTTACACTGAGTAAACTAACATCGCTACTCATAAAAAGACCGGTACTGCTATTAACATGATGTATGCATATAATAAGGCACAGTATATGTCAAAAGCATCAGTGCAATATCAGACACCACCCGTGAGAACAGCACAGTTATATTATTAACAGATTCATTCATGTCAAGCAGTACGTGCAGGGCCGGTGAGCGGTCCATGTACTTTTTGGTCACTCAGTTATGTTAAAAAAATGCATTTTCTTTTGATAACGAGATTTCGTTGAGACATATTTTCCTCGCGCATGCATATATATATATATATATATATATATATATATATATATGTTTTTGCTTGTTAGTCTAATTAGTGTTGATTTCAAATCCAGTTAATCTGTATAAAACTTGTCGTAACGGTGCTAATAATTGGTGTGTGCGATTACATTTTAGATGATGTACCTACATTTTTTTAAGTTAGGAGCACCGGTGCTACCAATCAAAAATTTTAATTTCCAGCCCTGGTTAATAAATGTATAATAAGTTCAAAGTGTTATGCAAACAAAAAGAGCAGTGTTGAAAATGTGGATATATTTTATTGCAGTTTGAAATTATTAAACAAAAGGTGGCTGACTTGTCAAACTGACGACAAATTGTGCAAAACCTCACCTCATTTTTTTGTTGTGTTGTTAATGTCTGCTTTCAAGACGTTAGAAATAGACACTTTCTTTTAGCCTTAT